AAAGAAGACGCGAAATTGTTCAAGAAATTGGTATATGCAGGGATAACAAGCTTCATTGTAGCTTCTCTCATTTGCTCTCTCAAGTCTGTATCAGGGATATGATAAAAGCTTTTATGTCTTTGAGTAATGTCGTCAAATCCTTTAGTGAACGCATCCATTTTCCCTCGTATCATAGCTGTAAGTCCGTCTTTGTCAACTTTTTTAAGTTCTTCTTTGTCCAACATCTTTACTAGAGGACCCCATGCTTGTTTTTGATACGAATAAGCTGATTCTTCAGCCACAATTTTGTATGTCTTCTTCATATACTGATCTCCCATGAGTTTTCCGAGTTCTGTACTTCTAGTCCTCATGTAAATGTACCAGTAAGTGTTCATGACAAATACGTGAGGCAATACTTTGTCTTTATACCTCAATTTCTTAGATTCAACATTCCTCCGTATGGCATCCACAATGTTGAACATGGCGTCTTTGAGCAAGTTTTCATCTGCTTCGGGTGTTGAAAGTACTCCAGCTTTCCATATTTGTTCAGTCCTGAGGACTCTGATCATTGTCGCGCTATATGCATCTGTTAGAAGGTATTTGAGATAGTTAATAGCATAACGAACAAGTTTTGGAACCGAACCATCTTGAGGTGGAAGAACATCCTGATTAGCCTCAATTTGAAGGCCAAGCTCAAAGAAGACTTTGGTAGAGGAATGTACAAGGAGTTTCTCCAGTTCTCTAAATCGCGAACAGATATCAGCACCAGCTTCACCAGCAAAAATCTCTGAGGACTCGGGCTTTAACTTTTCCAGTGATTCGAACATGTCTAACAGTTTAAACAGCTTTTGAGGTTCTTTCTTACTTCGTGCAACCCCTTCCCCGAATCTAAAGAAGACAGCCATTATCTTGTCTGCTATCTTGACGAAACACTCAGGCCATATAACTCCATCCATTACTGTGCCTAAAACTTGGCAGCAGAGTTTCTTTTCCGATACAAATACATTCTTGATAGCAAGTTCAAAGTGTTGGATCCAAAGGGATATCGCTGTCTCTAGGCTCACCCATTCCATCTCATCAATTTCTTCCGGACTGTATGTTTTTAGGTACTCCGGGTTCAGTCTCATCAATGCTTTGGCTGCTCTTTTATATCTTACCTGTGGGGTGAAGCAGAATACCATAATCATTCTTAGTAGCCATATACATTAAATCTTAAACCATTGAGCAAACTCTAAAACTGTTGGAATGAAATAATACTCCCTCCGTCCCAGTGGCAGATTTCGGAATCACCATAATAAATCAACATAAGTGAAGTTTAATCGCGGCTAATTAATGTCTATGTTTTCTCACTAGCAGATTAAACTTTTAGTTTTTAGATGAGATAATCACATTATTTAATATGTTGGATAACACTAACATCTTGCCTATGGAAAGTTCCTCGAGGGGCTGGGTTGGCCTAGGTGAGAGTCATGATTGAACACGGTTCTTGCTATCATTTACAACTTTTGAGATTATGATAAACGTTTGATCCTAACAACATATAAACGTCTAAAATCATGGATTCATATACCTGTCGGATAAGATCAAGGACAAAGTTGTTACCTTCACAAAGATATCAATACATATATCAAGACAGTCATTTGCAGCCAATGTCTCAGAGATTCTTGTAAGCACTTCAATTTCTAATTCACTTCCCAAGTCTGTAGACACCATATCTGCTGCAGCAACAACATCATCGTGATCATCATCATCATCATCGCGATCACTTTTTGCCTCGTTAAAATTCCTATGCCTCATTTTATTCAACAAACTCTCATATTCATCTTGCAAATTCAACAAAGCATCATCAAGCAGTCCATCAAATCTCATAGCATCAACTTCAGTTTCACAAAGAGCTTTAAGTGTAATCAAAGTCTCTTTCAATCGATGCGTCCTGAATTGATCAGTTGCTTTAGTCCTGCTTAAAAACTCCACAACTTCTTGCAACTTCTGTATAGCTGGTTCACACTCTTTACTAATTGAATTAATCGCCTCATTCAAATCATCCACCGTGTCAACATACTTGATCAACTTCTCCACCCTCTTGTTAAACGATTTCTCGTTAGCTAATTTAGAAGAAAGTTCAAGAAGCTTACGCTGGAGTGATTCAGAAAGTTTGAAACTTTCAAGAAGTGAAAGAGCTGGAGAAATTGCTCTGTTGATCTTCGTATCGAGTGCCTTATTAGCAATGGAAAGTGATTGTAATGGAGCTATTCTTCTTGAAGCAATGGTCAGATTTTCTTGCATTACAACAAATCTCTCTTCTATTTCAGATAAACTCGTTTCGACATTGAATGAGAGTTGAAGAAGGTTGTTGAGATCAGAACAAGTTTGTTTAAGCTTGAAAATGATTTGATCATCTTGTTTTAGCTCCTCCATTGACATTTTTTTCAGTGATTGATGATAATTCTTGATCTGTTGGGGTGTAATCAATGTTTCATATAAAACAATGAGGGTCGTTCGTAGCTGGATAAGAAATAAGTTATTCGTATATCAATTTTCGTATGACTTATACGACATTTGATAAGTAGATAAGAAATAAGTTATATTCATGTATAAAATCAACACTACCTTTGATTGATGATTTAGAAATCCGCATAACTAATTTATGCAGGAAAGAAAGTGCAATAACTAATACGTATATGTACATAAATTCTCTCGTAACTAATCCAACTACCAAACGAGCCCGAGGGTATCAAAATGGTGGCAAAAAGAGGAAGAAGACAGGAGAGATATTACCAAGGACTAAGTTTCGATGAGAACGAACGAACAAATGGCAAATACATAATAAAAAAAGCGACATAATTGACATTTCTTATTGATTTTGCCGTCTGATCATATTATACGTTTTTGCTTGTCGAAAATGAATTTTTATCTTTTCATTTTTCTTTTTTACTCTGTTCGTTTCAAAATAAGTGTCATTTTAGTTCATTTCAGACTCATTAAAAGACTAAGAATAAATAAATTTTACTAATAGAAGAATGTAGTTGGAAGTTAATTGTTGGTTGTCTTGAATTTCTAAAACGACACTTATTTTAGAATAAAAAATGGTGACCAAAATCAGTTCCGTGTGTTTCAATAGTTTCTTCAAGCGTCTCTTACCTTTTCTTTACTAGTAGAGTAAAGATAACAATTAAATAACTGGGAAAAAATTATCTAATTTAATTTCTTTTATCTACGAATTTGGGTGGATCAACAATGACTTCTAATGGACGGGTTTGCTACTAATCACTACCATTTAATTTGAGTTAATACCTCGGATGATTATTCAACTATGCACTCTTCTCTCAAAAAGTTACTCAATTTTCAATTTTCATTCAAAAGTCACTCAACTATACACTTCTTTCTCAGAAAGTCACTCACATTTGAATTTTAATTCAAAAGTCACTCAATCTATTAAATTGTTTTTTTAATTAAAATTTATTGATATTAATTATTTATATAACAAACCAAAATTTTAAAAAAATAAAAATACCATTTAAACCATTTAGTGATCCATCCACCTAACCCGACCCATTAAAAAATATGATATGACCCATGTTATTTTGTCTTTAATCCTAATTCAAGGTTTAAAGAGAGGGATTAATTTAGGATTAAAGACAAAATAAAATGGGTCATATCATATTTTTTAATGGGTCGGGGTAGGTGGATGAATCACTAAATGGTTTAATATATTTTTAAAATTTTTTGATTTGTTATATAAATAATCAATATCAACAATTTTTAATTAAAAAATAATTTAATAGATTGAGTGACTTTTTGAGGAAAAAGTGTATAGTTGAGTGACTTTTTGAGGAAAGAGTGAATAGTTGAGTGACTTTTGAGTTAAAATTCAAAGTTGAGTGACTTTCTGAGAAAGAAACTAATAGTTGAGTGACTTTTGAGTGAAAATTAAAAGTTGAGTGCTTTCAGAGATGAGTGCATAGTTGAGTGACCATCTGAAATATTAACTCCATTTAATTTAGTATAAACTACATAATTTTGGAATAACTTGCGCATAAATTTTAACCGATTACATTGAGGACATTAAAACTCTCAAGATTAAATTTTGGCAGAGATGTAACACCAAAATTATTATTGCATAAATCTTTTTAAACGAAGGTATATATTAAACACCAATTAGTGTGACTCTTTTTTTGATCTTTAAAAAATAATAATCGTTGCCACATTAAGAAACCTCCCGCAACTCCGATTTTGAAAAGCGACAATTTATGAATTTTGAGAGAAAAGACTCCTCCAAATGGTTCCTTATTTTTGGGTTAAGGCTCAAAGTGATTCTTGATTTTTCACATGAAGCACTAATAGTCTCTCATTTTTGCAATATTGGTGTACTTTTGGTCCTTCCCTAAAATTTTGCCTATTTTTTAACTTCAATTTTGCCCAGAATTTTATATAAGAAATGTCCGATCATCTTTTTATATATTTAGTAGAAAAATAACTCTATCTAAGAGAATGTCATAAGAAAAACACCTTGTTTCGTTCACTAAAAATATCATTGCAGCTAAACTAAGATCATCTTAACATATAACTTTGCAGGACAAGAAAAAATTATACTATTGTACGTGAAATTATCATGACGAACCTCTCGACTTTACGTGCAATATGATTTCTACTAACAAAACAAAGTATTTTTCTTCTCACGTACTTTCATATGGGAGTTGTTATTTCTACTAAATATATAAAATGACAATTGTACATCTTATACATAGGTTGTGGATAAAATCAATGATAAAAATAGATAAAATTTTGGATGAAAACGAAACGTACACCAATGTTACAAACATAAGGAACTATTACTGCTGTATGTGAAAACTCAAGAATCACTCTAAGCTTAATTCAAAGAAGAATCTATTTTGATCCTTTCCTCGAATTTTGACCCTGAAATATTAGTTTGGCCCAAAATAGATAATGGCCCAAATGAAGCCCAAAAAGCAGGAGCTGGAACCTTCTTAAGCCAACAAACCAGTAGCACTTGCCAGAAACTAATTTGTCCATTTCAACTGTTTCCCGCTCATTCATAGCGTAATTTCACACGATTTCGTTCTGCAATGGCGAGTTTTCTCCGGTGTACGTTCACAGTCTACCCGATCTTCACAGGTTTCTTCGACGAGTTTTTCTTCTTCGTCGAAATCAAACCCGATCAAATAGGCAGAGTCTAGAATTCGCCAGGAACTTCGTCGTCGCAGAGTACGTACTTCATCAACCTTATTCTACTGCGAATCGTCATTGTTGCTTTTTTATTCGTGCTAAATTTTCTCTACAATACTCTTAATTATTTGTCTGCTGTTCGAATTTCAAGTTTAATATTTGGAAATACTTAGGTCGTTTTATGATGTTGATTCTAAATTAAACTTACACACTGCGTATTTTATGTTTCATTGTGAAGAAAAGTTGTGAATTTTGCTTTCATGAGCAGAATCTGAGCTAATATCTAATCAAATTAACCACTCATGATACTCTTTAAAAAAATAAATAATTGTTGTAGGACTGTAAACAAAAAAATAAGGAATTGCTAGAATTTAAACTGAGACTTCATGTTGCTGGTGGGAGATGGTAGGTATACCGTGGAAATAGTCGGAAGCTGGCTCGGGCACCACAGTTATAAAATAATAATTAGTAGTACATAGTTTGGTTCTCCTACTTTTAAATCTTGTTTATTCTTTTTGAGATAGGAAGATATTATACTGTGAGTAGTTACTAACATAAACCTGCTTATAGTTTTCATATTTCATTTATTAAGGAATAAATCATAGGTACATTATGCTCTACTTGTCAATTTTCTCCAATTTGTGTCGCAATCAATGGTGAACACTAAAGACTTAATGGGAGTTGTATATACAGTTTATTTGCCTCAAGTTATACCCCTGCCATCAAGTAGAGAACTTTATAGACTAGTAATGTAGTTATCTGAGCTTTCTTTATTCACTACTAATTCACAGTAGTTAATGAGAAGATATGAAATTTTTTAAGGTATTTAGAATGTTGAATCGCATACCCGAAGAGTAATGGATGAAGACATTAGGAAGTTACTTAGCACAATTTTTCGTCCTGCTAACTCATAATATTTCCATCTCAAATTACTGATGAAAAATATTTCCATCTCAATTTGTTTGACTCACATTGCATGTCTCTCTTAAGGTGCACGTAAAGTGTGTAAGAACAAGTTTTGAGTACTATTGGTGTACATGAATTTAACTTTTTGTTCTGCATTATGTAACTTAGATTGATTGACAAACTGCATATACGCTCGTCTGTGAGCCAATAAAGGGAATGTTGTTGACTTGAAATTAAATAGGCGTCGATATTGAATTTTTGCATATATTTATATCAACTTAGTCCATTTGAAACTTTTTATAGCTCTTGTCAAAGCAATTAACTCCATTACTTTATATAGTTCTTGTCAAGAAGATCTCCAGAAACATATTTGAGAAGAAATTCAAGTATTTCCTGTTCGTCTTAGTTCTTCCTTCTTTTTTCTAACGAAATAGGGTGAGATTGGGATGCTTAGTTGTCAGTGGTTTTTGTACGTTTTCTAATTTTGAGTGTTAACTATGGGAACACTGCAATTCATTACTGCTTACTATCTATTCCTAGTTGTTCTTTATTCACATCATACGGCTGAGATTTGCTCCAGCATAAATTACTTAAATTTATTGTGATGGAGTATACGTGGTCACTTGTGGCCTGTGGGAATAAAGGGTATTTGGTCTTTTAACACATGTATTTTTCCCTTTGAATTTCCATCGATGGGGTTGTTGTCGTCGTTTTCACTTTCTCCTGTCCTTTCTTGACTAAAGAAGCAGACACGAGGAATATAGCATACCATTCTCATCCTCACCCACTCACCCCCCTCAAGTTGGACGGGCTAGGAGAGATCCCCAACTTTCCTAGAACGTTGTGGTGAGATGGCCCAGATAGGGCTTTGGGGAAGGGATCAGAGACCTGAGAAGAAGCCGGAACATAAGACAGAGAAATCAGGTGTGCGAGGAATTGTTTTGTGTACAAAGTGGCTATCGGAGTAAACCAGACTAGGGAGCTCTGGCGGAGATCCCCATATCAGCAAGAAGACAATTGAGCCATGTCATATCAGCCACGACTCTTCTCATGGAGTGATACTCAGCTCCCGCAGAGGATAAGGAAATGGAGACCTGTTCTTTTTGGTTCCTAGAAACAGGTGAGCCTCCAAGTGTGATAAAAAATCAACTGTCTGATCGACGCCCCAATTTGACAGAAAGATCACTTGTCAGAAACAGATCTTGACTGGGATTGTTACTGAGGTATTAAAGAACTCGCAGTGCAGCTGAAAAATGAGATGTCCAGGGATCCTGTATATACTGAGAGAGATGTTGCACTGCATAACAAATATTTGGTTGACTATGAGTGTGGTAAATCAATTTGCCAATAAGTCTTCTATAACTAGTAGGATCTATCAAATTATCTCCATAATGAGCTTGTAATTTTGTTGTAGGATCAAAAGGTGAAGAAACAAGTGGCAGATGGGAGCAATCATATTCAGAAAGAAGCTCCAAAGTGTACTTCTGTTGAGTAATAATGAGACCATCAGGCTCCTTTAAAATCTCAAGTCCCAAAAAAATAATGTAAGTCTCCAAGATCCTTGATTTAATTCAGTATCAAGGAATTTTATGAGTTGAGTGAGTTCAGCTGAGTTGTTGCCTGTCAAAATAATGTCATCCACATAAACAACAGCTTAAGAAATTGAATCACCATCCTTTCAAAAAGATAAGGACTAATCATTTAAAGAGGAAATAAATCCCTTGAAATTGAGAGCAGAAGTAAGCTTAGAATACCACTGGCGTGAATCATGTTTTGAATCGTAGAGAGACTTCCCAAGCTTTCAAACATGATTAGGACTACGAGAAGACATTCCGGGGGAAACCTCATATTTCTATTCTAACAGCCTCTTCTCGTAATTAACCACGTAAAAATACATTATTAACACCCAATCTTGATAAAGGCCAGCCTCTTTTGACTGCTATAGATAAAATGCATCTTATGGTGGTCATCTTCACAATTGGGGAGAAGCTTTCATTGAAATCCACACGTTCTCTTTGGATTTCACCCATAACAACAAGTCTTGCCTTTAATCATTCAAGACTCTCATCATACCTTTGTTTTATTTTGAACACCCACTTACAAGGGGAGTACATTTTTCCCTTGAGCTGGTTGAACTACTTCCAAGTCTTGTTAAGCCTCCAAGGCTTCAAGTTCACATGCCATAGCCTGCTGCCACCCAAGGTGCATAGCAACTTGTGCATACGTAGATGGTTCAGCCATAAAAGAAACAAAATTAAGAACTTTTTGATTAACTTGAAGAAAGTGTTGAAAAAGGGTACGAGGAGGAGTGATAAAAGAGGTAAAACAAGTTAAGATTAGTAAGAAAAACTACATTGCACATATATTCAGATAAATAAGTAGGCTGTTTGTGCTCTCTACTGAATGGTAGAAATAGGAGATGACTTTTTGTGAATAAATTCAGAGGATGAGCTAACGAGCTCCTTAATTCTACTGCGTAGTCTATAACAAATTAACCAACTCTAGTGGACCCTTTATTATCTATTCCTAGATGTCCTTTATCTCGTCATACGACTGAGCTTTGCTCCAACTCAAATTGCACAAATTTGCTGAGATGTGTGCACGTGTTCTCTTGTGGGGATAAAGGGTATTTGGTCTGTACACATGTATCTTTCCCCAATTTGAATTTCCCTCGATGATGTCCTCGTCACCTTCACTTACCCCTTCCCTTTCTCGACCAAAGAAGCGGATATAGATACTGAGGAATCGAGCATACCATTCAACAGCTTACTGGAAATTACTTTCTTATTCTTCCAGTTGACGCTTAGGCATTTGGTCATATTAGTTATTGGTCATGCCTCTAAAGTTCATTGACAAATATGCCTACTTTTTCTGGTCAGTTTATGGATCTGTCGATAGATTAACTTTTTCTGGGGAGATTTGAACATTGCTTCTTCAGGTCATTGGTTATACACCTGCAAGAATCGCAACTCAACAAGGCTATGGAAAGGTTGGAAAGTGGAAAACAAATTTCTAGTCTACATAGAAGTACCCACCACTCTTTACCTTTTCATGATAAAACATTTATATTTTATTCTCTGAGAACACTTTGGATATTTAATTATTATCAATGCAACAAATCCATGGAACTTGTATTTCTCTATGCGAGGTCTTTTTCCCTAAGGTTTGTATAGCTCGTTAGCATTTTTAGCATGCCCAGCATCACAGGTCTCTAAAACAGAGCAATTTCAAAAACTGCCTCTGTTTTGCCAATGTAGATATTTTGTTTATGACACTATTTTTAATTAATAGAACTGTAGCCAAAGCATCTGTTTGATCGCATCTTTTAGGTGGGAAAATCCATTGATTGGATGGACATCCACTGGAGACCCTTTATCATCCATTGGTGAGGCAGGGTTATCGTTTGATATTGTAGATGCAACAAAGACGTATGCTGAGAAACATGGTTGGGAGTACGCTGTGTGACTGTAAGTCCTTTTGAACGCAGCACTCCCCAATTTTCTTGTTTCCATTATAAATATATTGCATCAGAGACCTTGTTCTGCTTTTAGACAATCTGTTGTTATTTCCCTGTAACAGACATGTGGGATTGGAATAGGTTTTGAACTTGCATTGCATGCTTACAAGATTGTGATGTAGAAAGAGTCCCAGAATATGGATAGTACCTCTCTTACGAGTTCCTTCAAGAGTTCTTGAGGTATTTATTAGTTAAATTAGTGAAAGAGAAAACCGTGATGAAAGATAACAAGTTGATCAGATTTCTAGAGAAGAAATTGAAAGAGAGCAGGCACGGACTTATCTTCTGGGAATGACTAATAACTTCAATGCTGAAGTACTAATTTCATAGAGTTTGATTCATTAGAACTTGAGTGTCAAATTGATTTCGTTGTAATTGTTACTACATGATACACTAGCTTGACTATGTTCCTAGGTCAATTTTGTTGGTCTTGTTTGGAGTCTGATATACAGAGCTTCTTTTAACATTTCATTTTAAGCAGGCACTGTCACTACATAATACACTAGCTCGACTATGTACCAAGGCCAATTTTGTTGGTCGTGTTTTCAGTCTAATGTACAGAGCTTTGTTTAACATTCACCTTATATGCAGGCACGCATCACCATAGAATCCCTTCTATCATTCAAGCTTCTAAAATGAATGGATGAGCACTTCTGGATCATCAACAGTGAGTTATCTAATGGTCGCTCAAGCTTCTAAGATACATGGTATGGATGGTGAGTGGTTTATATTCAAAACTATTTCAACTCACTTCTAAGTAGTTCTCTAACAATTGTTAATTTGTAAGATATTTATATGAATTCGAGCGACTTTATTGGAACAAAAAATAGATAAATGACTTTATTAGGCAATTTCATTAAGTTGAGTGACGATGAGGAACTAACTCCAAAAATTAGATAAATAACTTGACTCTACTAACTGACTATCCTTCAAAACGTTTGATATCTTTTCCTTCCACAAGCTCCACTATAAGCGGCCTGGATGGTATACCAAATCTTCTCAAGAGGTTTGCTAATACCCCCAGAATTCGAACTGGTTAGTAGCTCCCTAAGCGTAGGAGGCATAACAATAGTTGCTTGGAGAGCTTAAAAAAGAGATCCCAAATCTGCCAACTACTGGGCATTGCCAAGAAAAAGGACTGCTGCACACCACCTGGGTATTACGCCCTCTTTTCTGTAGGTTCCGTGTTTGAGACATGCGTCATGGGCCAACTGTCACATAAAACAATCAACTCTGTTACGGCGCTTTAAACTTTCAGAGTTGTTTTCATGGCCAATTGGAGAAGTCTATCCCCGTCTTTTCGCCCCGCTGATAGGGGAGAAAGGGCATTTTCCCTATCTCTAAAGGGTCCAAAGGCTGGACGACGGGGCCTCCGTTGGACTGATTTATTTGCTGAGTTGGACTCACCATCACACACAAAAAGCCTGCAGCATGAGTTACGAAGAAATTCCCATTATGCTGTCCACTCCATGTAATGCAGTGCTCAACTTGTTCGTGACACCACCTCCAAAGTCTCCAAATCTCTTGTCAATTGTAGGACTTTGTGAGTTCTTAAAGATGGATTAACCTATAAACAATGTTAAATAAGATACATTGTCATTACATTTTAACATGTCATCTCAGGTCACTCACTTCATTTTCTAAAATAACAAACTAAACTTACTATAGGAAGTTAAATTACCTATTGTTTTATTTCATCTTTATTTGATTTTAGGTTAAATAGAAGTAAGATCTGTCACTTTTCTCTTGATTTGTATGTCAAGAAGTTTCATACACCAATCCAAGTCTCCCATCAAACCATATATTTGTTCTTTAATGGTATGAATCACGACTCCCTTCAACCATATATTTGTTCTTGAAGTGGAGTTCTATAGTTATCGCTTGCATCTAGCTAGTTGACCATTTATTGGATACGGTGAATTTTATGTCTTATCATAGACAACTCTATTTCTGGCTAGAGACAAATCATATGCAGACAGTTTCAAATGGAAGGGGTCCCACCAAAGTGAGGGACATCAATTCTATTTCTGGTTAGAGCCAAAATCGTATGCAGACAACTTAAAAAATCAAATTCAAGTTCAAATGGAAGTGTCCTACCAAAGTGCAAGGGAGATTAAAATGGATATTTTGGGAGACTAAAATAGATATTTCGTGCCACCGTTGCCTTCAAGAGATGCTAGAAACTTCTGCCAGATGGAGATACTTTTTATCATTGGAATTTTAACATGTATTCAGCCAATAATATTGGTTGCCATCATATAATCTTTCTCCAATAAGAAAAGCATATTACATTAACTAGGCATTCAAAACTTTATTCTGTTTGTCAGTTTTGTTTATTGATATGTGCTGAACTAGTAAAATATGTACAGACGGAGAAAAAAAGGAAAGAAACTAGACGCTTACAGTTGATAATTGAGACATAAAACTTTTACACTCTTAACCTGGAAATAACTATTGAACATAATTGAACTACCCTAATTTTTCCTACTTTCTATAGGCTGCTACTATATTGCATAAGTTTTTAACCGGCATTTTACAACATTTAAACCAGTTAAACTGTATATACAATTGACAAAAAAACTGTTTAAATATTGGAAGCAGCTGATTCAGGAGTATTATCATCTGTGGTATGGAACCTCCACTCAAAGACATAATCTTTGGATTGGCAAGCTAACTTCACAGCATTGCAGAAAGCTTTGACTGAATTCTTTTTCCCTTGTGCAGCTCCCCATTCTATCTTCACCCAGCAATTGAATCCATCAGATGACATTGGCACACTGCAAGATGAATCCAAGAACTCAAGTATCACTTCCCCACCAATTCTCTTGCATGCATTCCCAACCATGTAGTCCAACCAGCAACACTCAGGTTGACCCACCATCTCTTTGTATGCTGCATTTGTGAGCCTTACTTTGTTATTCGAGTCCGAAACGACAGCTGGCAAAGCCTCTGCTTCAACTTCTTCCTCCACCTCCTCTGGTTTCTTTATAAATTTCTTGTTTGTTGCACCACCATCTGGAGCCTCCTCCTCATTGATACAACCAATGGAAATACTTGACCCAACTGGGCGCACTGGCTGCGGGGTTATAACAACCGGGCCAGGGGTCTTAGGACCTTGCAATTGGGGCATGAAATCTAATTCTTCAGGGCCATCAGCTGCCAAATTCAAATCGATCCCTCTAATTTCCTCTCCAGAGTGTTTCTCCACTAGCATAGGAAGAGTAGTGGTAGTACAAGCCATAAGAGGGAGTGTTATGGAATTTGATGGAGTTGTAACAGAAGTACCCAAGCCACATTTAAGAGGGAGAAGATTTGGGATTAAAGTGAACTGGGGAACCACATTTGGTCTATAAGAAGGAGAAGCAGCCACCACCTGATGATAATTAGGAAACTGGCCAGCAGGAAAGTAATTACCTCTGGCTCTTTTCATAGAAGGTGGACCAAGTGCAGTCCTTCCTCTCTTCCTTGTCCTTGTTGGCCTTGCTTGCAATTGAGGCCATACATTCCTCAAGAAAGGAGACTTTTGAATATTTGGGGGCAATCCAGTTGGATTATCCTCAGAAACAGGACTAGTTGGAGCCTCAGGTTTTGGTGCTATTGGCCTATATCTAGCCATGATCTCAGCTGTTTTTGAGGTTGAAGGGTAAGGATTCAAAGTCTGCATCATTTTTTTTTAAAAATAAAAAAAGAACCCTTTTCCTCTTAACAACAACAACCAAAAAAAAAAGAACCAAATTCAGAGAAACAGAGAGGAGTGTTGAGGAAAAATTAGTGGGGCTAGAGGTAGAGGTATAAGAAGGGTGATATAAGCCAATGAGAAAAGGGCAAAACATGAAGCAAGAGAAAAGGTTGAAATGACACTTGGAAACATACGGCGGGTACGTGTTTGAGTTACTTTAAAACAATAAAGGACATGTGGGATTACAAGAGAGTTTTGAACTTTGTATGCATGCTTTACACTTATCACACCCTAAGCCTTACTCCTAGCTGTCCTCTCCCTTCGGTTATGAATGAAAAGAAGTAGTGTCACAGAAGAAAAATACACCCCTTTAAAATCATTACTAATTACCCATTTTGCTTTTTTTCATCATATTTTAAGGATGAATTTATGTACTGGTAATTAAAAAAAGAAAAAACATAACGGATGTGAAAAAAGAATAAGTTTAGTTTTTTGGAGTTAATAAGTTGGGGTGAGGCAGTGGGCTGCTTACCAATCAGGCGGTGGGCGCTCATCTCATTGCACCGAAGAGAAAGGGCCTTTTGCGGAACAACGCGTGTTGACGTGGATCTCATGCATGCCTACACCTATCAGAATTTTGTTCTTTTTGGTTCCCTCTCTGCCTCTTGAAAAAAAAAGATTCAATGTACTGAAAATCTTTTACCTTAGAAAGACTTTTAATTAGTTTTAGTCTTCGATTACATATTATTTGTTAGTAAGTAAATAAGGTATTAATATGAAATTGTTTGGATAGTAATCATCATGTGAGTTTTACTCATAAAAAAGAATCAATGTGAGAGCTCCTGAAGGAGGGGTAAAAAAAGAAAAGTAAATAAGGTAAAAAAAAGTAAAGAGATTGGTACGTATATATACAATTAATTAATTAATTACTATTTAAAAGAAATAGAGTAAACTCTCTACTTTTATGAATTAAAAGAAAGAAGAAGATGTTTGTAGGTTATTTGAGTTGCTTTAAAAGGTTGCTTGCAAAGCAACTTATGAGTTGTGTGTAAACTATTTTCCTAAGTCAAACTGTAAACTGCACGAAAAGTATTTAAATTTTTATCAGAAAGTTATTTAACAAGTTAGAGTCTTCTTGAAAAAGCTAAAAAAGCACGAAATAAATTTTCATAATCATATATTCATTTTTAAGATGATTAACGATTTATATTTATACACTTTACTCGATATGACATGAATTAAATTGATACTCACGTAAAAAAAATAACTAATGTTAAAAAATATATGTATTCATAAGTAAAGCATCACTACACATGTCAATTGTCATGTTATTATTTTAAGAGTCATTAAAAGATAAGAGTAAGAGTATTATGTTAAGGTTAAAGACTAAAAGATTATAAACAAAAAAGTGTGCTTAACATGCTAATGAAATCGAGAAAACAAGAGTTAGAAATTCTGGTAGTTAAATTATATCAGATGAAAAACAGCTCCTGGTTCTGACTTCTATCTTTTTCTATAGGTTCTTCATAATCTTTTTACTTTCTTTAAAAGTTACTATATATTTTTATTTTTTTTCCCTCAATCTCAATATGTTACGTGCCTTATTATTTTCATAATGTTTAAAAAAATATTACGTATATTTTAATTTCATGCGTGGTAAAAAATTAAAATAATGTCTTTCTTTCGAAATATTTTTCTCATAGCCGAAGAAAAATTTATTGTGATTGGAGAAGATTATCTCAGGATGTTACATTTATCTCATGTGGCACCTCATGGAAAAAAGCTAAGTTTTTCTTTATAATAATATTCACTTGATTACTTGTAAAGCGTTCTTCATGATATTCCTTTTGATGCTGTCGTTTTATAATTTTGATCTAATACATTTTGAGTTATGGTCATGTAATACATTGATTTTCTGATTCTTAAATTGCAGAACTCTCATCTTTTTAATTTCTTATTATTCGAGCTATACTATTAAAATTGAAAGTAAAAAATGTTTATCAATCAAAATAAGTTTCTTTTATTTGTAATACACTTCATTTATATGATTGTTTTTTTTCTATATTTTGATTTAAAATAATATTATTATAATAATTAAGATCTTAGATGAACTATTAGTATAATTTAAATTCTTATTCAAATTAGTAACGAGAAAAGAAAATACATTTTTTATTTTGAACTTAATACTTTCTCATTCTGTGTTGGTTCATTGACAAAACTTCAATAAATCCAAAGTATGCCGCCTTATTCTACGTCATAATACGACATATTCATAATAATTGAAAAAAAATTGAAAAAATTATTAAATATTTTCACTTCATCTTCTTACTTGAAATTCATAATTTATCGATTAACAATGAAAATGCTTAAAAAAAAATTCTTCGTTGTAAACCTTGATTTGGAAATAACTTTAGACCAAATTTATCAAGTTTGATTTAAGAACTTTTTTTTGAAGCATGTCCATTTTTATTATATACGTACAATATTTGTAATTAAAAAATATCTTATCAGGTGACTTAAAATATTTATAGATAAATTTCTTGAAAATAAGAATTTTTAGCGTTATAAATAACTTTCTAATAAAAATAAAATAACCTATTACGATAAAATAACCGCATGCCCACCAACTTCACGTAATACTGGTCTATATAAGAAATATTTTTAAAATAATGTTTTTTATTACATGAAATAAATAAAATTATTTAAAAGATTCACCTATTGGGATGATATATACAGAAATATTTTCACTAAGGTAAACCAGCGGGACTTCTACTTCGACCCAATATGAATTCTCTATCTTTGTTATTAATTACGAGTATCCATTCATTTTAATTTGTTTGTGTTATTTTTTTCTTTAAGTTGAAAAATATATTTTATTTTCTTTTAACTGCTCTTAACATTTGATTCTCTTTAAGATCATAAAATTAAAGAGTATAAATATATTTACGTATTTTAATTTAGAATTATAATATTTAAAAGTTTTTTTTTCGAGTATAAATTTATTATCCCAGGGGTTAATGCATTTAATAAGGATCCTGGATACCGTATATCAAGGATGAAATAATCCCATTTAACCTTTCCATTGAATTTTGAGGATTTTAACATTAAATTTAGACTTTTGTAAGAGTTACAACACAAGATACTAAAGCACAGGATTTTTTTCATACATGAGGAGGATGAGTATTAAATTTCTTTAAAACTAAGGCCAAATATATTTGTAACTGTAAAATATTCAATTAGTATCATATCAGTAAAGAGATTGGTATGTATATATACAATTAATTAATTAATTACTATTAAAGAAATAGATTAAGCTCTCTATTTTATGAATTAAAAGAAAGAAGAAAATGTTTGTAGGTTATTTGAGTTACTTTAAAAGGTTGCTTGAAAAGCAACCTATGAGTTGTGTGTAAACTATTTCCCCAAGTTATTTGTAAACTGCGTGAAAAGTATTTGAATTTTTTTCAAAAATTTATTTAACAAATTATAATCTTTTTGAGAAAGCTAAGAAAGCACGAAATAAATCTTCATAATCATATATTCATTTTAAAGATGATTAATGATTTATATTTGTACACTTTACTTGATATGACAGGCTGAATTAAATTAATACTCACGTAAAATATAACCAAAATCAATATATATGTAAAGAAATTATGTATTTATAAGTAAAGCACCATTAACACATGTCAATTGTCATGTTATTATTTTAAAAGAGAAGTGTCATTAAAAGATAGAATAATATGTTAAAAGTTTAAGACTAAAGAATTATAAATAAAAAGGTGTTCGTTAACATGTTAATATTATCGAGAAAATAAGAGTCAGAAATTGTGGTCATTAAGTTATATCAGATGAAAAGCAGCCCCTGGTTCTTCTAATCTTTTTTTTTACTTTGTTTAAAATATCTATATTTTTAATTTTTTTCTTAAATCTCAATATGTTACCTGACTTATTATTACCATAATACTTAAAAAAATATTACATATACTTTAATTTTATGTGTGGTAAAAAAGTCAAATAAATTAATAATGTATTTTATTCGAAATATTTTTGTTATAGCTGAAGATATATTTATTGTGATTGGAGGAGATTACCCCAAGATGTTATAATATTCACTTGATTACTTGTAAAGCATGTCTTCGTGATTTTTATTTTGGTGTTATCGTTTTACAATTTTGGTGTAATACGTTTTGAATTACTGTCATGTAATACACTTCATTTATATATATTAATTGTTCTTCTTTTTACATTTTAATATTTGAAATAAAATTATTATAATAATTAATATCTTAGATAAACTATCGATAAAATTTAAATTCTTATTCAAATTAGTAACGAGAAAAGAAAATATATTTTTTATTTGAATTTAATACTTTCTCATTCGGTGTTGGTTCATCAATTTAACTGTAATAGATCCAACGTCTGCCACCTTATCCTACGTTATAATACGAAATATTCATAGTAGAATCAAAATAAAAAATAAAATGCATTTTATTTTTAAAAAATTACTAAATATTTTCATTTATCCCGTGACTTGAAATTTATAATTTATCGATTAATAATGGAAATACTCAAAAAAAATTCTTTGTTGTAAACCTTGATTCGGAGATAACTTTAGATTAAATTTATCGAGTTCGATTGAGAATTTTCTTTGAAACACGTCCATTTTTATTATATAGGTATATCATTTGTAATTAAAAAATATGTTATTAAGTGACTTAAAATATTTATAAATAAATTTCTTGAAAATAAGAATTTTCAATGTTATAAATAACCTGCTAGTAAAAATAATATGACATGTTACGTTAAAAAAAATTTTAGAAAGAGTTTGGGTTTTCACATATTATTGATTGATTGATCACAATTTTTTAATATTTTTTTATAAATAAATTTTAAAAAAAAAATAGAAAAATACAAGTTTAAATAAACTATATTTCATATTAATTATGCCCTCTTTACTTTCAACATATCTCATCTTCACCCTACCCAGTAACCTTCATCCTTACAACCCGTGCTCATACCAACTTCATATAATACTTGTCTATATTATATAAAAATATTTTTAAGATAATAAAAATCATGAAATAAAAAAAATACTTAAAGAAATTCACCTATTTTCTTAAAAAAAACATTTTTCTCAACACTCTTATGATTAGTATGATATATATACGGAAATGCTTTCACTAAGTTAAACTAATGGGACTTTTACTTCAACCTAAAATGAGTTCTCTTTGTTTGTTATTAACTACGAATATTCTATTAATGTTAATTTAGTTGTGCTATTTTTATTTTTCTTCAGTTTAAAAAACATATTTTATTTTCTTTTAGTAGCTCTTAACTTCCTACTTTTCTTAAAGACCATATAATTTAAAAATATTTAATATATAATTTTATTTAATTTTTTCTTAAACTTTGTATCCGGTATAAATGTATTATCACAAAAGCATATTTAATGCATTGAATAAGGATCCTCGATTCCATATATCAAGGGTGTAATAATCCCATTTAACCTTTCTAGAGAATTTTGAGGATTTTAACATTAAAAGTAGTCTTTAGTAAGAGTTACAACACAAAGATACTAAATCATTGGACTTTTTTTTTTCATACATGAGGAGGATGGATATTAAATTCATATCTTTCACTATTTAAAACTAAGACCAAAAATATTTGTAACGGTAAAATACTCAATTAGTTTCATATCAGTATGTTTAATTATTATCAATATTATATTTGTAATGTTCATTCTTTTTTGTAACAAAGAAAAAAGTCATACGCCAATACATGAAATAGC